GAGAGAGAGAGAGAGAGAGAGAGAGAGAGAGATGACAATCAAGCATTTGTAAAACAAGATCCTACTGCATCATTTCTGCTCAGTTGGTGCAAAACACTGCTTAGCATTGTTCTAAACATACTGTATTTGTACAGCCAAGGACAGCAACTCCTCTGCTTCTTGGAGCTCATTTCTTTCTTTCAGAATATTTCCAAGGTTGTTCATGGCATGTACGTATTTAGGATTCAACCTAAAATTTAAAATTTAAGAGATGATTATTATGTATGGGGCATGCATTACTATACACAAATTGCTAGCTCTGCAATGCTGCAGATCATGAAAATGAACACCTAATCATTTTCTTCATGTTAAACATGAAAGCAGTTCTAGAGTAGTTCATTAAAGCAGTAAAATTCCTAATACCTCACAGCTTCTCTGTAGTATTTGATTGCAGCACTTTGATTTCCTTTGTCAGCCAGGTTTTTGCCAACATTGTAGTGTACCTGAAAACACAGATGAACAGTATACCAGATGCTATATAATGAAATTTTTCTGTGGAGCCAAGTTGCTAAAAACTCTTCCTCCAGACAGAAACAGTCAACGCTTGTGTCATTCACTACTGGCTTTTGTTGTAGGTAGATACTTAAGATTGGAAAATACATACAATGAAGACAGTACACAAAATCTGAGGAATAAATCAGCTTGCCTCTTCCAGATATTTAAGCCTTCCACAAGATTCCTTACATGGAGACCTCCTGCTCTTCATTTCATTTATTTGTCAGATAAGTAAGAGAAAGTTGGACTCCAATCAAATCCACCATTGTGGAAGAAACACTACAGCAACGTGCTGATTAACCTTTGCTTTCACTATAGCATAAATTAGAAGAAACTCAACATTAACAGAAAAAAAACTAAGCTCCATATTTAAACAAAACCAAAACAAACAACCTACATACATTATTATTGTCTTGAGATAAAAAGGCACTTCTGATATAAAAATAATGTGTATTGCAACATCGTGGCGATCTTGCCTGTTAAAAAGTGGAGAACGAAGGAAGGATCTAGAGCTTTGAGACAGAGCTACAGGGAAGAAGACACATCATCTGAACTTTCTGCACAAACTAGATAGGAATAAATATGTTTCAGAACAAATCTCATTTGGAACACATCTCAAATCCTACTTTACTTAGTCAAGGGAAGACTGAAGTTTGGAAATAACAGAAAAGCACCGTGAATACTGACTTCTGAAAACAGACTTCTCAGCAACTAGATCAGAATTCATTATTTAAATTATCTTACTATTTGAAATCAAATTGTTTATACTTTATCTAAAACAAACACACATTGCAATTTCTCCCATATTTTGAAAATCTAATTTAAATCTTTTTCAAAAACACTATGCAGGAACTACTTCAGATTCAATTACACTCTAATTCACCTTGTACATTCAAAAAAAAGGACTTTATCTCATGAGTCTGAAGGAAAAATCGTAATTGTATTTGCCACAATACCTGGGACCTATTGATCTAGCATGCACTATTATGTTTTAACCTAATTGTTATGCTAATAAATTGTTGAATTCCATCTCTATATGACTGTGGCTACACAGTAATATATCATCAAGAAATAAAGTTAAGAACATTTTCGATGCTTTCTAGAATGAGTGAAAAAGTAGTTTCACTGATTTTACTGGTAGCAAAGATACTATAAAGCTTACTAAGCACACAGAGAGGAAGCTCCTCGTGTTACAAGATATAAAATAGCACACAAATTCAGCATCCCATAAAAGCAGTTCTAGCACACCTTCCAAAAAAAAAAAACCCTCAGAAACCAGGCACTTCTGTTCTACATTCATAAAGATATGACAAGGTCCATGACAAACAAGCAACAGAATGGTACATTTATATCAGGACCTAGCTATTCATAAAGACCAGTTGACAGCGTCAAAATAACCCAAACCCAACAAAAAAGGAGAGAGCAGCATTGTTTTCCCAGGAGTCATTAAAGTAAAAAGATACACCCTCAAAGATGTTTCTTAGAATTGGATTCTCTTTGTGTATCGCTTCCAGGATTTTTTCAGCACACTATGATAATGTTCTTAGGAAACTGGATTGTCCTGATTGTGTATACGCTGAAGTTTACAGACTCAAAATGTATTCAGAGCACATTAGGTTATTAAACTTTGCTGTGTTTCCAGACAAAAGCTAAATTTGTGGCAAAGGAGAAGAAATCGGGAAGGACTTCACTCAGTAATGTATATTAGCCCTTAAAATACCTAACTTGACATCTCAATATCAGCAAACAAGATTACATTTAACCTGATTAAATTTATTTATTTAAGAAGCTTTAAAAAGGGCTGGGTACTTTTTATTTTTTAAAATTTTACAAAAATCATAAACACTACTGAAAAGAGAAATGTGATTAAAGACTGGAGACAGAACATATGAGGAAAAGAACTTAGTATACACCAACCACTCAGTTTTTCATATGTCAGCTGCCTCATGTTAGGAAACAGTCAGCATCTCACTTTCTGATTCTATTTTTATCAGTTTTTAAAAACATATAACTTCTTCATATTCATCTCTATCTTTAAGCAGCAGAAAGACTATCCTTCTTGTATTAGAAGAATTGTTCAACACTGCAGAAATCTGAGAGACAGTTCTCTCTAGTCAAAACAAATGAAATATTAAGTGTACGTGTACATTTTGTCAACTAAAAAGAGGTACTATAGTCTATTAAAAATAGCAAAACTATTTAAATAATCTATGAGCATTTTTCATAGTGTATTTCTTCTGTCTGCAGATACAGTTTCTGTGTGAAAGAAAACAATGTTTCTAGGCAATACTCCTGAAAAGAAGAGCTCCTTATTACAGGTAAGTTTCCTCATTTCCCTTCACATGAAATTGTAGCTTTAGCTCCTCTCAATATGACGGTGACAGAGAAGAAGGGAAGAGAAAAAAAACTAAAACAAACATACCAGAACAGCTTCTCAGTCTACCAGAAACACCCAATGACAAAACCAGCTCTACAATGGCACGGAATATGCAGTAACGTCCTGCTCTGAAGAACCGGATCCTAAGCACAGGGGGTGTCCCGGTGCACACACAGACCTTTGAGGGAGGAGACAGGGCCCTGCAGCCACGTCACCCCCTTCACCGGTCCTCATGGAGGGGTGCCAAAAGCAGCCTTGAGCTCTGCTCCCCAAAACCAGGCCTACGGTAACAGTCTGCCCTCTGCTAAGCACAAAGGCTCCAACACTCCTTGACTCTTCCCATGACCCCAACCTGCACAACGCCGGCACACAAGAATCTTCTATACGCCGATGGCCAGGAAGAACTTGACCTTAAAAGATGTGGGGCCACTGCGATGTTTTAAATTTCATCTCTCAGAGATGCGGTTCTGCTGCTTTTGACAGATACTGTGCCTGCCAGCCTGGGAGGGAGGATTTTCTGTTCCTGATTAAACATTTAAGAGCACACACAGCATTTTGTTATTAAATGATTAAAGACAGATAGATAGATATTAACTAGAAATGCTGTATTACATTATGCCCACGTGCTCTTTTATCAGACTTAAACAGGTAATTACAGTAATAGCTCTGAAAGGAGCATCTCTCAGGGATGCATAACAACACAGTAGTCTCCAAAAGCAGGGCAATTCAGTAAAAATACCCTCGGGTAGACCCTAGTTGATCTCAACAGGCAGGCATTGCTTAAAGTTAACAAAACCACAGCACCAAAACGCAAAGAACTGGCTCTATGTGTTTGTTCACAGCACCTCACTCTGCCTACGCAGCCAGTATAAAAAAGCAAAAGCACTGTGTACTACTCGATGTTAGACACACAGAGTGCTTTAGCTCTCAAGGGGTTAAATGTGCACACACATTTAAATGATGAAGAGAAAAAAATTTTCCTGTACAAAACCAAAATTACTGTCAAAACGATTTTTTTCCTCCCTCAAAAGCAGCGTAGGAAGAAATTAAAATGTAGTATCAGCTTCCAGGAGGTACACCTCCTCAGTTGGAGCACTACTATTATCAGCTATTTTATTCTCTCTTCCTAGCTACTTATAATCACCTTTTTCAGCACATATGAACATTTGCTGAGAAGGATGGAAGCAAGCACAGATGTCAAAATTTCTACAGAAACATGCAGATGCTTCTGTTCAACGACAGCTTCTTTCATCAAACACTCTTCTCGTTCCTCTACTATTGAAATTCCATTTTCTGATTAATAATGAAACAAAGCCTTTTTGATCTTCACATTTTGTTTGTGCGGCTAATGTTGTCTAAAGCTTCTTCTGCATGGCTGTGCTTGTATACAGAATAACTGACATCAAAAATCTGTGTGGCAAAACACTGCAGATAGCCCCTACAAACATAGCCCAGAGCACTTACGGTAAACTCTGCAGAAGATAATTCCCTTTTAACATACAGCACAGAAGAACATTCTCACTATCTAAAGGAAATGCTCTCTAGATCAGCTTCACAGATCCTTAAACAGGACTAAATCTTGTTTCTGTTGCAAAGAGGTTTTACAAAACCTCTTAATAAAGTATAGAAAGTAATCTCACAAACTCTGTTGTTCATCTTCAGTACTAGCACAGCTTGTCTTTGACAAATTTCTCTCTCTAATAATTACAGTTTTCATAAATTGTCAAGTGCAAAGTTACTATGCTTAGTATGTCAAGGCAGACTGGTTAGTAACACATTCTGCCAGCAGTATTATAACTTCCTTGCTTATTATTGCAGAAAAGTTGCTACTGAAATGGCTTTACAAAAATAACGTTTATTAATTTCTATCCTTGAAAGAAAAGCCAGGAGCAAGTAGAATGTAGAGATTACATATAGAATTTTAACTATGTATTTTAACTATTGATTTCAAAACTAGGAACAGAAAAAACAGTGGCTATTTCCCATGTATTTAACAATGCAATTGCAAATTTTGTTTAGATAATCAATTAGAGGAAGTCATCCAGAAATAAAGACTATCTCTGGATTCTTAAAAACTGCCACAACTTTGCTAGAAGCCAAGAAAAAGTAGCTTGGTGCTTCCAAAAATAACTTGTCACATGTCAGAAAAAGGCAGTAAGGTGAGCATTTTGGGAAATAAACTTTAAAATTAAAAGAAAAACCTACGTAATGACCTCAGAAAGTGAGGAACAATGCAGCAAAGTCTAGAAATAGTGAACAGCAGGATAGCAAAGGCTTCACGTAAGCTCATGTGTCCACATCTGCTCTAGCTATCAGGATTTCTTTTACCACTGGTGGAAAGAAACACACAGATCCAGCTGCAGTCCTTCTGGCCTGTGTCAGTCATTTAGTCTGAGGTGATGAGGAACCACGTGATGGCCTCTCCTCCCCAGTTATAAAGGGAGCCTGGCTGACTTGCTCAGATGTAGAGGTCTAAAGCTAAGGAGATAAATCTAAGCCAGTATTCTGATCCAGTGAAGCAGCAGTTATGCTTTTATTGTAACCTGTAATTCGATATTCCCATACTTCCACAAAGCAATCCAGAAGGAACGCGCAACATAATGACATCAAATGAAAAGATGCCAGATTGGATCCAGTGAGCCTTTTAAGCCTGTAGAACTGAAATATTCCAAATTTATAAACTGCCTGTAACAGGAGAAAGCAGTCTCTCTAACTGCTCACAATATTTGCTTTAGCTGAAACACAGGCTTGGTTCAGACTCATACTATTGTGTAACACCACTGAGCTCCAGGAATTAAGTCAATCTATATGTTATAAAAAAGGTGGTAAGAGGAAATTGAATCAATATACAAGCATCTTGTGTTCAGCTAAGAAAAATAATGCCAAAGTGTACACTGTTTCATTTTAACAACCTTTGAAACCTACTACAGTGCAGGAGCATGCAAGTTCAAATGTGTGACATACTCCTGGACATGTGTAATTTTATCTGATACAGGCTTCTTTCTCTACATATTTTATTTATTTTTTTTTAAATAATGCATAAAAATATATATTTAAAATAAATATAATTAAAAATAATTTTTAAAATACTAAAAAGAACCCAAAATCTTTGTCAATTCATTATGGTACTTGATTACTGCCAACACATTTTAAAATCACTGGGCAACATTTATACAATCTCATCCTCTTAAGTCAGATGCATCCATCACTCAACAGGGTGGATTCACTACTATGCCAAACTGATTTAATGAAGTTTCCACACCTGTATCTCAAGAGATTTTTAAAGACGGTGAATCTTGAAATTAGAGAATTAAGAATTAAGGTAGAGTTTACTCTACACTGCTCACATACAGACAATTTGGAATTGAAAAGAGCTGTACCACAAAACATGAACTAGGAGCTGCAGCTCTTGTTAGCTGGGAGACACTTGGAGAATTTGGACCTTGCTACATAAGGGAAGTAAAGCATGACCACATTGCATATATTAAAGATGTTCTAAGAACAACAAGAAAAAGCCATTATCTCTGTTCCATCTTTTGGTCTGCATCAGCCTCCCACTGCAATAAATGAACGACTGAAAGAAAGTCCCGTGGAGTCATTTTTAAAGGAAGTGTGCAATTTCAACACAATCGAAAATCAGTAGAGAACCCAGTTCCAATTTTTACATTTATCTTTGTCAAAACTGAATAAATATAGCTGAGTCCTTACAAAAAAAAAAAAAGAGACTGGCTCTCACTCATGGACTCTCTAATGCTGTTGCCTAGAAAAGTTCCCTACTCCTGTGGTTTCAAAGTTACTCCTTCAGCAAAATTGGAATGCGAGCCTCCAAAACCTCCCCTGCTCACATCGCCACGCTTCTCATTTGTGCAAGCTGTCACTTAGCGGCAATACAACTCAGGCATGTCGAAGCGGCCTAGTGTTGACAAACAGAGGCTCATTCTCCCCTTACACTCACTGGCTTTGAACCAGCTGCGTTAGTTCAGCAGCTCGCACGCAGCTTATCGGCTCGAGCCCAGGGCTGTGCGAACACAGTTCCGCAGCTTCCCAGCCAGCCATGGCTTGAGTCCAAGGAGCTTGGAGCACAGGCAAAGAGCGTGGATCTGTCTAAAGCACTCTCGCCGCTGCAGATGGATGGAGTCACACACAAAGGAACAGATTGCGTTCGCTCTGTTTATAGCCTGCGCTTGTCATCCAGAGGACAAGACAAGCTGAGGTCATCATTAAAAGGAAGACAGTTGCCTACCACCACCACACAAGAGAAGACAACCACTCTTTCTCTGTGTATCCGAGATTATGGAAAGACACCACCATGTTGTAAAAATTGGCCATAAATTTCTTTTTTTACAACTCACTGCTGTGTATTTGTATTTCAGTAGATGCTAAGTTTATCATTCTCTTTGCAAAGCTGAGCATTCACAGGTGCCTTTTAAAACTTTGCGTCTTGATCTGTGTTATCTAGATATCACTCCAGATCACAGAAATCTCATCTTTTAAAACATCAGTGCATTTTTATTGACAAGCTGCGCATCCCCATTCCCAGGCTCTTCAAAGAGAGTCTCTGCTAAAAAATCAGACAACATCAGGGCTCTGCGGTATGCTCCAACAGATCACTCTCTCAGCTATCAAAGGACCACTGTGGAGGTCACCTCCGTTGGCAGGCTGGATTCAGTTCACTATGCCAAGCACTGATGTTCAGCTCAGACATCCTATCCAGTCCCAACCTTCTTACTCATTCCCTCACTAAGCCCTGCAGAGAATATAGTTTGCCTCAGTGTCCATGTCTGAAGATTCCAGCACATTCAGGAAACTGTAAAAGGGCAGAAGTTGGAGCAAACATTTTTACTCCCACATCCTGCAATGAGAGTGATGATATGCTGCTTGGTCTCTTAGCTGTGTTGGCTATATACACACCACTGGAAGTACACAAAAAAAAAGATTCTAAAAACATAGCACAGGCATTATTCAGGTGAATACATTGCTACAATTTACTTTTTTTTTTCCCCCAAATATTTTGTAGTAATGACTTGCAATTACATGCACAACTGGTTTAGTAGATTTTATTAGCAGCACATCCAATTTGAGTGGATGTCTTTCCTGAAGCGTGTTCCCCCTTTTCTCTCCCCTTCCAACTCCCACCCCCAAGTTTTGAATTACAATACTGTAATTTGCACTGCCTGGTGTTTTGAGTATTGTACAACTGTAATTTCAGTGTCTGACATGTCAATGTCATATTATCACACCAAGCAAGACTGTCAATAACACTGTATCTCAATACATTAACTATACACAATATCTCCTTTACCCAAAATTTCAATACACTTACAAAAATTATAATGAAAAACATTGAATTCCACATGAGTGACTTACTTTTGCATTCAGAGGGCACACAGACAGGGCACTCCTAAAAAGCTGTTCTTCTGACCTCCACTGACTGCTGCGGAGTGCACAGCGCATAACATTTATCAACAAGATTCCAAGTACTGCCACAGCAAGAATTTTCTTGAGGAAAGAGAGACATGTTAAGAAACAAACCATTCAACTGAAGCACTTCATCACCAACTCTGATTGATTTGATGGTACCTTTTTCTTGGCTTGCTTGCTCAAGAGACTAAATCCATATGTAAACAGAATACAATATCCAATACTGGGGAGGTAGATGACTCTCTCTGCAATAACAAATCCTACTCGGAAGAACAGATTACTTGCAGGAAGAAAAGGGATAATAAGAAATCCAAGTCCCAGTGTAAGAATTCTGCAAAGAAAAAACAGATTCTCAAATTAACCACAAAACAGAAGTACCTTTCCCACTTAACATATAAACTTCATTTAAACATTGTAGAAGGATGTGTGCATGGAACAGGGCATTCAAAAGCAACCTGCAAGAGCTACTAACAGAATCAGATTAAATTTCAGTGAGGTTCTGGTACTTCATTCCATCAGGCACTTTTAAGATCCTAGCTATAATTTCCAGAAAAGCAATGTTCAAGCTTCTGGGCCATAGAATTACAAATTACACATTAATTATATAATTCCAATGTACAATATATAGGCAAAAAAAAGTAATTGTAAAAGCTACTTATCTATTTTTGGACGCATTAAAACAGTAGCAGGAGTAAAATACGGGTCACTGTTAAGGACAAAATTTATGTACATAACCTACTTAGAGGGTGTTTTCTTTCCTAACAAATACATCAACAGAATCCACTGTGGTTAACCACTCGAAAGTTAATTTTTTTTTTCTACAGTCATCAGAGAGAGGCATTTCTTGAGGGAAGTTTGCCTTCCTTGGTTCAGGTATCTATGTAAGGATGAGGAATTCTCAGCAGATAACTCTTTATGGACGATACAGAGCTTAGATAACTGAGACTAGATACCTTACATTTACAGAGCTGCAGGAAGTGATTAAGCTTTCTAGTCTAATTTATCTAATAAATCTCTCTAACATAGATATGTCCTCTTTTATCATCACCAAGACTTCTAGGTATTCACTATACTTTTTATCTTTAAGTTTTATGGAAACTGAAATATAGGCTTAAGTAAGTGCGCTTTTACTAAAAGTATGACATCACTTTTAACAGGAATTCTACTCCTCTCCAGAATTGTTTTATTTGTGTAAGTATGGGAACAGCAGAAAGCAAGGTGGATGGGATTTTAACATTTATGGTGAGGAGTGGGAAGGGATAAAATTACAGAATACTACAGAAGAGAAAAAGAAAAATATTCAGCACTCTGAACAGCAGAATGACCTCATGATTAAGCTGCTGAAAAATTTTAAAGAACTGACAAATTAATTATACATAAAGTCCATGGGAATAGAACCTGAAAAGTTAAACAGAAGCCCTTAGTCAGACAGAACAGTTTACAGTATATTTTTTTAGTTCCTTTGGGTAAAGTACAAGTTGTTTCCTCAGTAGATACTATGGGTCAGCATTTTACTTTTTAACTGTATAGCCATGGCCAGCATTTCTACCTCCTTTCAAGCCACATCTCCCCTCTTTCATTATTAGAAGATTAAAGGTGATGATAACTTGTAAGAAGTAGGGGCAAAAATATACATAATCTCCTACTCTGTTCTGAGCACATATTGCTTTCTACCACCTACAGTGTTAAGAATCTCAAAAAGCCACTGCAGGAAAAAAAAATAAAGCAGCCATCCATATCTCCTCGTCCAACTCTGTTTCCCACTAGTCAGTGTACAGTGATGGGCCCAAATTGGGATAAAACTGAAATGACAGCTATAAATATTTATTTGAACTGAATTTGCTAGACACTGGTTCCTCTGAATTGTTAAAATTATCAGCAGTGGGTTTAACAAAATAATACTGTACTCAAGTTGGTCAGGCATTTAAAATTCATCGCTGTCTCTTACCTTCTCTTATGGCTGTCTTCTGAGCACAGAGCTTGGCATATCAGACCAATTAGGCAGAACCAAAGTGCTGCTAGTGCAATTATCCTCCAGTCACTGACGGACTTAATGAGGGGTATGCAGCCCATTGACCAATCAAAACACAGCCACCAGGGACACAACAGCAACCACGCATTCAACGAATAGTAGTAATTATAGTTTATAGCCTGTCAGTCAAAAAGAAAACAAACAGTTATTTGATACTAAACTTAAGGGGGGGGACTACAACTAGTTACATATCCATTTATTTTACAGCTGTGGAATTAATTTTTTTTTTAAACACAGCTAGGTGGCTCTCCCATTCAGAAAACAGGAGAATGCAGGGAAATGCAATTCTGTGCTGTCCAGCCAATATCCACATCTAAAAAGAATAATCTCCTATAACAGGAGAAAATGTCAAAAGACATCACCCCCTGTTCTTGGTCCTTCGTTCTCCATCTCCAGAAGGAGCCTTAATGCAGTCATGACATACGTCAAACGCACAAGACCAGAACTTTATGCTATTTTCTTCAATTGTGAAAGAACAGACGAAAAGTCAAGCATAGTACGTGGAAAAGGAATGAAACCTAGCAAAAGCTAAATCCTTGCATGTATGGAAAAACTAGTGAGTAAATGGAAATGTACTTCTCTGTGTGTGGTGCACTCTAAATTCAATGTAAAAAAATATACAAGGTATACTATCTAAAAAAAAAGCAGAAAATCATCACAGCAGCACAACTGAGGGTGACTCATCACACATCTTGAAACGTAAAGACTGCTCACTTTATTTTTTCTTTGAAGCACAGAAAAGAAATTCAATTTGATTACAAAGACGATTGTTCTGAGTTGGTCAGAAAACAGCAACTTCATAACTTACTCTCACAAGCAGACTATCTGCAAACGAAGCTGGGTTGTCTACTTCAGTGAAAGCTGGTGGCCCTGTGCCCATAATCCTCCAGCGTATATAAAGTATACTGGCCCCTCCAGACATCAGAAGAGTTATCCTGAAAAGCAGTCCCTTCCTTAACAGCCCAGCTTTCTACACAGGAAAGAAGGAAAAAAACCAAGATATAAAAAACCCATCATTCCATTCTCTTCCCCACTACATTCACATCCTTTTCGCCACTATCTCAGAAAGAATAGGCTACTCCTGTGCGTTTGAGCTATTAGAGGTGACATTTTTATTATTTTTGCAGTTAGTAGAAAGCTCTCAAACTTTACTATGCTTTCCTTGACTAACTGCAAAATATTTTTTGCAAGTATTTTAGCTTCCTTTTCAATAAGAAAACCTTTTTTTCAAGAAGTCTCTCTTCTACAAATCCTCAATTACTCTATAGCTGATGCAATTTTGCACAACGATTTCTGACAGGGAATTTGGGCAGAATACAGCCTTGAGTATACAGCATATTAAATGGATCTACCTTTGTGAACTTTATTTTAAATAGCTCTATCCACTTGACCGCTTATCATGGCAAGTTTTTGTTCACTTAGGTATCTTTAGAGGTATACATTACAAGAACACTGCATAGTTAGAAACTGGGGAGGAATTAGAAACCAAAATAAAATTTTCACAATCACTACTGTGATTAAAAAGTTAATGACAGGCAGGCATCCAAAACTTTTTGGTCAGGCTAAAGTCACCCAAGATCTACAAAAACATTTAGTTGAATGCCTACGAATAAATAAGTTAGTAACGTTGATTTTGCATGTTAGCATTTGTGCTCAAACGGTTGCTTCCAACTTACACATCTCAGCAACCAAAGTCACTACAATGAGGATTATAGGAACTGTTCCTAAAAACTATTCTTGGAAGGAAATTCTGCTACGAACAAAACCATATAGTGACAATTTATAACTGCTTTATGACAGATTAACTACACAAAACCTCTTATCCCAGGCTTCAATTCATTTAACAGCATATTCAGCTTCTTAAAGGCCAGATTTCACGAATCACTGCAAAATATCTTAGTATGCAGAATTTTAAGAAGTGTTATCATATTGTCTTTGATTTAGAGTTAACTGAAAGCCGGCATGAAACTAAAATCTGTCTCAACAAAAATCTGAAAGTAAGAGACTCTAAGATCTGCCTTTCAACAAAATAAACGAAAACAAAAAAGCCTTAGATAGACTTTCATGAATACACCAGGTCAGATTTTTATAGGTGGCAGGAGCAAAAATGAATTACTTCAATTACAAAAAAGGGAGAAAAATGCACATTTGAGGTTTTCTTCACCCATACAGAACTGTTTAAAAGACAAAAAATGGAAGCATAATGCTTTGAGCTTTTCATGTTTCAAGAGTAATCCTCCAAAAAGGTTTGACTCTGACAGAATGCACAGAATTATAGAATGGTTTGGGTTGGAAGGGACCTTTAAACATCGTCTAGTTCAAACCCCTCTCCCATGGACAGGGATGCCACGTTGCTCAAAGCCTCATCCAACCTGGCCTCAAGCACTTCCAACATCCACCCCCTCTCTGGGCAACCTGTGCCAGTGTCTCACCACCCTCATGGGGAAGAACTTCTTCCTAACGTCCAATCTGAACCGACCCATCTCCAGCTTCAATCCATTCCCCTAGCCCTACCACTACCCAACATCCTAAACAGCCCC